ACAAGAATTCTAATTAGAAATTTTTCCTAAAGCCGGTATTTAGAAATCTGACCAATTACAGTTGAATGCGAGAGGAATAATTGACTATGATTCGTCCATTTCTTAAGGCTTAAAAATCTGTTGCAGATCCGGACTAATCCATTCTTATTTCAAGATGGATATCTAAGATGCTAATATGGTCCTCTTTGGTTCGTGACTCTTTAAGACTGTGCTTAAGGCCAGAATCAGATTGAGATTTAAAGATTAAAGATTGAAATTTCACCAATGAGGACAAAGAAGTTTTGACTCCTTTTGTTCTGATGAATCTTCAATCTTTCAATCTCATTCTTCAATGCTTAAGTCTGATTCCTAAGACGGCCTTGAATATTATAAGAATCAATTATGAATGCTACCTTATATCTTTAATCTTTCCTTTCACGTATTTTAAACAAAGAATAATTAATTCTATTTATGTTAATAAAATATCATAAAATATTACTTAATAAATCAATTGTCAGGACTTGATCGAAATTACTTTTATTGTTGATTATTCCAACTAAATTTAATCACACGAAGAATTTTCAGTCATCGATGTGTCCGTAGAGAGAACATTTGCTTCACGTTACTTCATGTTGTACTATTTATAAGTCTGTTTTCTCTAGCTGAACTAGTCTACATTTTTAGAACTTAAAGTGAGATAGGTATATTATGTTTGATATTTGGCTAAGACAGAGAATTCTAGTCAAATGCAGGAATAAAAAACAAACTATCCATGATGAATCAAACCTGTCCAACACTACTCGCCACTCTCGCCAGTTAGTTGCATTCAGTTGCATTGGCACAGTGCTCGCTGAGTGCAGAATATTTTTCAAAGTTTTTAATAATAATCTATTAATTGTGATCTTAACAAATATTATTTGTATTAACTTAAAACGTTTTATTCGACTCACGCATTTTTTTCATTAAATTATTGATCGTTTTGAATTCATATTGGAATACAATCGGTTTTTTTCTCTTAACAATTATAACATTTCCATAAATTAAAGTTTTATTGAAAAATATTTATTTTCATAACAAAAATACTTATCCAAGCAGAACATCGAATCATTATGATAGCAAAATAATGTCAAAATAACTCCAAAATGATTATTGAAAGTCATTTTTCAATAATTTCTGATTCATTTAATTTAATATCATTTTGACGTTATCGCTTGTTGTTCTGCTTGGGTATGTAAAATTGTAAAAGAAGTGAAGTGTTTAATAGACCTACTGATCTCTTTATCTTCAGCATTTTTGCACGCGAATATAACATCAAAGCGATAATTTCTTACGCTGCAATACTCTTATCACAGAAATTATTATCTCGAACAATTATAATATCGAGTAAATATCAAAACAAAATTCACTATTATATAATTTACTATTATATAATTCCTATTCTATGTTTCATCATCAATTTTCAAATATAAATTTAAAATCGTCATGATACAAAATATTATATGCATAATGTTAACCGTATTTAATTTAATTATTTAATATAATAATAAACATAAAATATTTAAAATTTTATATAAATTGATTTTATATTTATTGATTTTATATTTAAATTAGCTGTTAATTTGATTTCAAGTCGATGTCAAAAATATTCTAGATTAAAAATTCTTGATATTCTCTTTCTCTTTTCTTATTATCTTGTCGGAAATCTGCATAAATTTTTATCGATTTATATTCTATTATGTGAACATATAAATATGCAAACGATTAGCTTGGTTTCTCTTCCGTTTACATTATGACATTATTACATATAAATAGATACCAACAGATATATACAAAGTCATATATATAAGCGCGGTGCCTCACGAGAGCACTCAGCACAACACTGATCACAGTTAATAACAGCCAGCAGGATGTCGTACGGTGCGGTAAATGAAGGCATTCATAATTATGCGAAGCAAAATAATGTAAGTAAAAAAAAATCAGTGTCCGACTCTTTCACTATTTGATCCTTCCTAGGAACTACGGAAACCAAATAATATTTAAAACATTAAATTATAATGATACCATGTGTTCCGAATTACGCATGATTCTTTATTATTTGATGAACAACAAAATCAATATAAAGTTCCGTATTCACAGAATGCGCTTACAATAATGTTAATGCCTTAATATACTATATCATAGAATTTTAGAGATAAAAGCGTGTTTTGAATATAGGCTATTTTAATATAAATTATCTGTGTGATACCTGTGTGATATCTTATGATATGTAGTATTTTACGCTATTTGTGATATCTTACGATATTATAATACTATGTTCTATCTGGTCTTATAAATTAATATAATATTATAAAATTAACCGGCAGTGTGAAATTATTCATTATTATCTATTGTTATCCTATAATTTGAATGATAATGTCCATGAAAGCATATAAATTGATTGTCATCCTTATCGTACGCGCGGAGAAATATTGTGTACAGAATGTGCCCTAGAAAAAATTTGCGCCCTTGAGATATTTCTAGTGACAGAAAGGTAGTAGAATTCAATTCAAATTTATATTTCGTGGAGATCATTCTAAGTTAAGTATATGATTACTGTAGGCCATTATCGTCGATTTACGAAGCGACACGCTTACAAAACCAACTACCGCAATGAGAAAAGCTATGTATGAAGCACAAGTTGGAGATGATGTTTTTGAAGAAGACCCTACAGTAAAAGGTAGCGAAAAAAATTCGATTTTAGATTTTAAATGAAAAGTTCGTTAAATCGTGTGTGTAATCATGTAATAAAAAAAAATATAAATATTATAAATTGATAAAGCAGCATCGCAATGTCAATACGGTGGCAAGAATCTAATCCATCTAGTAGTAGTAATTCAGTAGGAAAACAAGCATCGTGTACTGCTTTACTTTCCTATTTAAAATCATTTTTTTCAAGCTTCGCTTAATCAATTTTATTTCTTATAAAAAAATTATTTCTGTCAAATAGAGACTTGCTAGTTTGTATGTCTTTAAAAATATCAAATTTTTACAATAATATTCTCGTTTTATTCACTTTTATGTTTTAATATATTGTTAATATATAATTAATATATAGTTAATATATACAGTTTATTACACTTACTATATTATATTACACTTTAATATACAGTTATATTTTATTTACTTTTATATATTATTAGTTGATAAATTAACATTTTTTTTAGAATTACAAAAAAAGGCTGCGACATTGATTGGAAAGGAAGAGGCTCTTTTCGTTAGTTCTGGTACGATGGGAAATTTGATCGCTGGTAAGAGCTTAAATATCTCATATTTTCTTTTAAAATCGAGATTAAAAGAGAGATTAATGAATTTATTTTTATTCATTTAATTGATTATGATAAATATGGAGAAGGATCTTTTTATATTATAATTATAAAAATGTATTTTTTGTTAGGATTCTAAATGAAATCCATCATATTAGAAAAGATTTCCTTAATAATATAATACCCGTATCACACTATGCATTGAAGATTGAGGATTGCAAATTAAAGATTAGAATTTGACCAATCAGATAATTTTAATTTTAATCCGTTTTGTTCTGATTAGTTGAATTCTAATCCTCAATTCGTAATTCTTAATCTCCAATATGTAATGTAACACGGACATAAACGCATTTCAAAGAAAATTTGATGCTAACCGTCTTTTCTCTCCTTTCAGTTATGAATCATTGCGATGTACGTGGCAGCGAAGTGTACTGCGGAAACAAATCGCATGTGTTTCTTCATGAACAAGCTGGTGCGGCGCAGATAGCTGGTGTGAGTTTCCACATCTTGCCTAACAACGATGACGGTACGTTCGATCTAAAGACACTCGAGAGCGCGATTCGCGCAGATCGGATAGACGAACCGGTATCAAAGCTAATCATAGTAGAAAACACATTGAACGGAAAGATCATATCTCAATCATGGATCGAAAAATTGGCGGTAATAGCGAAAAAGCATAATCTTAAAATGCATTTGGATGGCGCTCGACTGTGGAATGCCTCGATTGCGTCGGAGATCTCGGCGAAGGATATAGTCGCTCCATTTGATTCGGTTAGTTTTTGCTTGAGCAAAGGATTGGGTGCTCCTGTCGGATCCATGCTCTGCGGAAGCAAGAGCTTCATCGTTAACGCGAGAAGAAGGCGCAAGGTATTAGGTGGTGCGATGCGACAAGTCGGCGTGATTGCGGCGGCTGGACTCGTCGCTCTGGAGACAATACCACGACTAGTAGAAGATCACAGAAGAGCATGGATTATCGCGGAGACGATCAATCAGTTGAATTCTAAAATATTTACTGTAAATATGAAGACCGTGCACACCAACATGGTATTCGTGAATGTGAATACCGACAGTGGCATTTCCGCTGGGATTCTCATGAAGAGGCTCCAGCAAGTGAACGACAAAATAGATGATCCCTGTGAAGACGATAAGATTTTAATCAGATGTCTGGCTGTCACGGAAAATTTGCTTAGAATTGTTCTTTATTATGATATCGATGATATGATGATTCATAATGCTAAGCGTAAATTAAAATATGTCATCAAGGAATTGGATCCCCAAGTAACAATTTAAATTTTTGATGAAGTTCTTTAAAAGCAATAAATTAAGAAACCTTATTAAAGTATAAAATATTTTACTTTGAGATATATATAGTACTGAAATATTTCTATATTAAATATTTTTAATGACTGAATTCTTGATATTGATAATAATATATATAATTCTCTTTCAAAATTTGCTAGAAATACAAATTATAAATTAAAAAAAAATAAATTAGAAAGTGTATTGTAGTTTTACTGTATTGTTATATTATGGTTTTATATTGTTATAAATATATAATAAATAAAAAGTCATGTTACAATTTGAATAAATATCAAATAATTGTATCTTGAAACATATTCCTAGATAAAATTTTCATATGTATATCTATTAATCAAAGTATCTGAATTTTTATTAATTAATATCAAAAAGTATTTGAGCAATAAAATTCTATAAATCAAATATTGTATTGAAATCTTCTCGTTTATTTTCTTTATAATACTCTTGTTTCCACAAAAATTTTCTCAAAAGCAATCTATTATTACCGATCAATGATGGGCGTAAGCGTAATTATGGAGGCTGTTAACTTTGAAACGCATCATTAACAGGTTCATCATCATCCTCATCTTCCTCGCCCTCGCTTTCAAAAGTATTATCAGGAATATCGTATAATCGAATCATAGGCTTATTTGGATCCTTCATTATCAAATATTTGCCATCCTTCTGTTTCATGCAAATGTCGATGATACATCTTAAGATGCCCCACGCGTTGTCCATGTTCAAATTAATTTGCGTCGCAAATTCATTTGGTTTGTACTGCTGAGTACCAAGAATCACGTGTTTGCTCGAGTCTCGCACTATAGCGCGTGATACGTATCCAAATTTCAGCTGATCCGAACCGGCTAGTAACGCCTGAACCGTCCATTTGGCGAGTTTGCAGGCGTTATTGCGCAATTCGTTAGCCAAAACCGCACCACGTTGCGTGTCTAGCTTCTGACGCCACTCGACTCCATTGGCTAACTTCGAATCCCATTCGTTCAATGCTTTGATCGTCAGGAATTGATTTTCATTATTTGGACCTTGCATCACAGCATCGTGCTCGCATCGGGCGACGAGGACTATGCCATTATTAAGATCCCACTTACGATAACGATAAGCCACACTAGCCACATCGCTCTCCTCTTCCTCGGCAATAAATGGATTACCTTCCTCAAACTTATATCGTGGTTCATTTGACTTGAGTACCTGCTGTGAGAAATTGTGATTGATGAAAGTCGCCTCGAGGGCCAAGTTTCTGGGTGAATTCAGCGAATTGCCATCATCCTGTGGCGGTTCGACGCTGGTCTCGTTTACGGTCAAAAGATCAAATTCGGTATTATCTCGTTTATCAAAGAACAGCTTGTCGCCAATCTTTTCAATGACAATGTCCCACGAATAATTGCTACGTGTACAGCACATGATAGTAGCCAAGATTGCATCAGTAGCATACACATTGCCTTCAGTTTTCGACAATTTTCGAACTATTGGATCATCTGTAGTTGTGACCGTGTGGAAAATACGATCAATTCTCTGCAGCGGCTTCTCGCTCTTGACATTCACGCGATCGTACGTTTTGTCATAATATTCAAGCGAGCCGCAGCATGATATATCTTCGCCATCTTTCACGCCAGGCAACGAGAGCTTAGCCAATCGGGGAAAGTCCATTTCTTCGATAGTTATCCAGTCAGGTCGCACTGTTACAGAAGCATCTCGAATCTTGATAGGTGGCTGATTCTTATGATTGCGTAAACCTTGCTGTCTACCCCAACGCTTTGCTTGTCCCTTACGCTCCCGTTCTCGCAATTTGAGCTTTCCTAGCTGCTGCATCTGGCTCAATGCACCACGCTGACCACCGCGACCGCGCAAATTACGTTGATTGTGACGGAAGCGGCCACGTTGATACGGCGGTTTCTGCACACGGGTGGTATCCACCAAATGGAAGGTGGTTTCATCTTCATCGTGATAATAGGCATATTGACTGCCTGAACCAAACTGCGATGTATATTTGTCTACAAAAATAGTTAGATTATATTAATTTTATACATATATAATTATAACGTATCAATAAATTAATTTTTTATACGTAATATAAAAAACAAGCTACATTAACAATTTTTTTTCAATAGTCGTATCTTTCTTCAATATCTTTTAAATATAAATCTAATTTATAATAAATTATATTAGATCTAAAATCTGTTCAATTAAACTTTTTATATCATTTATCTTTCTTCTTTTCTCTCCAAAGAGAGAACTTTGAAGAAAAAAAGAAAAAAGATGAACAAAAAATTATTAATAATAATGACAAGTAATCTATTCAATTTGACAGAATTTTACTCAAGATATAAATTTTAAAAAAATGATTACCAATTGTTATATCAAAATATGTCATTTCTATGAGACATAAAAAATTATTTATATCTAAAATTATTTATATCTAGATAAAGTTTAATAAAATAGTTCTATGTATATTAATTTGAATTTTATCTAATATGTCTAACATTTGACATATATACATCTGTCAAACCTTACTCCAGTCATAAGATTAATTCAAATAAAATCTGTCGTCTTCATTTAACGACGATAAAGACATATGTGACGCAAAAATGCCAACGAGGCTCCCAGACGAGTCCTCGGTATCAGAGTCTCCCAATCTTTGAGGTTAAGTGCACGTGAGCGATCAGCAAAGCGAAATACGTACTTGGGAACTTTTTGTCCTGGAAAGCAGGCGTAGTCCAGTCGGAGATCTATAGAAAATAGCAAACCGATGGGTAAGCGCGATTTATGGAACGAAAATAAAGTTGGAATAAGTCTCGCAACACTTACCTTGCCCAATCTGTCGCCTTTCGAAAATGGCTGGTAAGGAATGTCCTTAAATTGATCCGGCAGTTCGCAGGGACCCCAGCCGTCCGGATTGTGCTGGATCGCCGGTGCCAGGAAGTGCGCCGCCACTTCCTCCTTCTGGACAGGGTCGTCCAGCACTACGTCTATGTCCGTCATGTTAATGTTCAGTTAAATTTGTCACATCGATTTAACTCGACGTCAAGTCACTCGGTAGTTCAGTAGCTCGGCATAGACCGAACCACCTCGAGGCACTTCACCACTGTGACTCTACCCGACTCTATCGTCACCACCACCGGAAATCCTGTCCGCGCCATCTTCCCCATTTGCTACATCGCATCGCAGTGCTGTTAATTCATTTATCCATAAAAGTGGCAACATTGAAATCATTAAGCCGATTCTACATTAGTTGTAAGCCGATCGCAAGTTTGTTGCGACAGCCAATATGAAGTGTTGATTTCAAAATTCAAGCTTCAGATTGGCTGTCGTAACAAACTTGCGGATCGGCTTGCAACTAATGTAGAACCGGCTTAGGGTTCGATTAACTCTGGATCAGAGAGAATCCTGAGAGAAGCCAAGCCGGCCTTTTTTCTGTTACCAGAAATCACCCATACACTACCATCAATACATCCATATTTTCAGTTTGAAAACTACGCGACTACGTTATTTTCTGACACTATCGATAAAATCGTCGAAAGTAGATGTTTGTCTCTGTACTAAATCCTCAGGCGTGCCAACTATTTTCTATTTATCCATAGGAGGGATAATTTAATGGGTCTTTGAACGAAAAAATTTTAATTTCGTATCCCCCTTCATATGTAAATAAAAGTTGTTGAATTTTAAGGATTAAAGAAAATTTTTTCTGACTTTTTCTTATTAAATATTTTATGTAAATTTTTGGAATCTAAAGTGCGACAATTCGTATTACGTATTTATCGCGATTACATTTCAAAAAGAAATGTGAAGAGCGGCACAGCTATCTACCTGTACGAGATTCGGGAATGGAATGACTACGCGGTAACTACGCATAAACGTGACGCGCCGCTCCGTGTCATCTCGTACTATCACCTTCCCAAAGGTCGCGCCAACCGTCTAACTGTCGAAATAATAACGAATATTACGAATAAGTAAAATAATATTCTTTATATTTTTAATGTTCTCAATAGACTTAATTGCATAATTTTTACTTTATTTCTTAGATTCTTTACGCATTCATGCAGCTCATGAATATCTTAATTTAATTGTGATACAATAAGTGATTATCAATTTATAATAACCCGGAAAAAATATATATATGAATATATTTTTTACATAATTATATATAATTATATGTAATTATATATGAAACATTTTTCCCGGGAACTTTATATTATACAATGTGTGCATAATATTTTTAATAAAAGATTGACGCGTATTCTTTTATAATATTTGAATTGCTGAATCCTATTATTCATATTTTATTCTAAGAGAGTTATTTAGTATTTAATATTTTAAATAACTATACTTCTAACTTATTAAACATATTTATATAATATTTTAAATAAGTTTCCCGAATCTATTTTATATTTTTTACTTTAAATAAGTCATATCAATTTTTTTACCAATTCCTATGATTTTATATTTTAAATAAGTTTCTAAAATTTATTTTATATTTTTTATTTTAAATAAGTCGTAATAGTTATTTTACTGAGCTGTAATACATAAGTATTATATCGGCATTATATGTAAGTTAAAAGAATTTTTGAAACATGCAACAATTTGCAGTAACAGTAGTGTCATAAATTAATTTTTTAGCTGAAAAATTAAATAATGATTAACAAGATATTTAATACTTTTAATCAAAGCTCTATTGAGCGCAAATTGTTTCGCAATATTAAGAAAATTTGCATATATCTTTATAAAGGGTATATAGAATATTATCAACCTCTTTCTTTAAGCATGAATCATTCAAAACAATAATAAAAATTGAGAATAATGTTAATAATGGAATAAAAAATACTCCACACATGCAAACAATTACGTTTACAAGAACCGTGCAAGTAATATAGGATTTAACACTAGAGATGTCAAAAATAAAGCGCAAAATATATGAGGATACCCATTTATTAAAATCATGTAAAATACGAATAAACTGTGAATATTTTTTATGCGCAATAGTTGAGTATTCGAATGGCGCCCGACGAACAGCCAGGAGTGGGGGAGCGTGTCGCGCGACGCGACGTAGTGGTTGACGTCAGCACTTCGGTATTTGCTCGGCGATCGCGGAAGGAGATGGACGCGTTTTACGAGTCGCTCCGAGTGTCATTAATTAATGAAAATTAGATATTTACGAATTACGTAAGGTTGCTCAAAACTAAGGAGTATATTAAGAGTTAATAGGTTTTTTCTTTATTTCTTAGATTCATTACGCACATACACAGTTCATGATTATTTTAGATATTTTTTGTTCTCACATGTACGGTATAAAAATGAGATTTTTATTGTTAGATATTTCAAATTGTAACTTTTTATCACTTTGAATTGTATATATAATTCTGTCATTTTCGTGTTACTCCACATTCTTATGATACAAGAAAAGTAATTGATAAATTATATTTAAATTATCTCTAAATGTATGTGCATGCTATTTATATATATTATTCTATTTAGTCAAAATTGTTTCATAAATTAAAATAAATTTTTGCATTTATCTTCATTTAAAGGATATACATAACATATTATTAATCTTTATTTAATTGTAAATCATAAAAAAGAGCAATAAAAATTGAGATATAATGTTGGGATCTCAAAAGCACTTTTCACTTGAGCAATTATGTAAGAAAAATCACGCTGTAGTAAAAACCTTTCTTTACTTCTTGCGTTTGGTCAGCACATTATAATTAATACGAAATATTTAAAATTATAAAATGAACGTTAAATATGTTTCTCGGTGTATCACAATATAATTATGACATCGCATTAAATGACTCGCGCCGCTAAAACTAAATATAAAAAATTGTTTCATTAATCGGAGAACATAAAAATTGTAAAGAATATATTATTTTATTTATTCGTAATATTCATTATTATTTCGACAGTTAGACGGTTGACGCGCGACCTTGGGCTGGGGATAGCACGGGGTAGCACGGAGTGGCGCGTCATATTTACGGCGCAGTCATTGAAGTCCCTTACCGAGATACAAGCAGGTAGTCGCGTGCGGTTTTTTTTCACATTACTTTTTGAAATCTTATCGGAAAGAATACCAAATATAATATGAAACGTTGTACTTTATGAATAATTAATTATACTTGATACTAGTAATCATATTATATGAATATTCATAAAATATAACATTTATATTATATCTAGCATTGTTTGCGATTATTATATTTCAAAAAGAAATGTGAAGAAGAACGGCGTGCGACATGGCTTCTTGTCTGTACGGTATCATACGAGTAATAAAAAAGCAATGTTAATATGAATGTTCTCATACAAATAACGCAATTCCTGCTTTCACAATTAATATAGTTTAATAATTTAATTAATTTTTTGTTTTTTTTATACACTTTTCGTTATACGAAAATCCATTTAAAAATTAAACTTTGAAACTATTTATCGTTAATAAAAGAAACATTTCTCTTTTTTATTAATCTCTAGTTTATTTCATTGATTCTGATCATATCTATACATATTACAGACATCATCTATATAAATAAAAGATTCAACTTTTTTATCTGCTCTGAATTTATTTCGCAATGATAACGAATTGCAGACATGTATTTGATATTCTAATTTCTAAAGTTAACCGATTGCATAGTAATTGCATAGATGCATAATATAGATGCAAATTATATATTACATTTTTCAGATTATTTTCCCTCTCGGATACAACCTTGACATGGTGGGAAGGCTCAGAAAGAGTCCAAGAAGACCTATCAAGAAGATATTTACACGAAAAGAACAGTTTTTCTCAAATATCTAAAAATTTTCGGATATATCTGAATTCGAATATATTTAGATAAATTTTTAGATATTGAAATTATTCTCTTCGTGTAAAAATCCAACGGGGAAGCTAACGCACCCTCGTTGTCGATTTACTTGAAAATGAACGAACCGCAGCCGGTTCGTCGTGTCGCACGTTTTATTTCGGGAGTGCCGTTCAAGTTATCGGACTCAAATAGTCCGCGCGCGATTATAGTGTATTATTCGCGAGTATTTTGCGCGAATGTCTTGTGCGAGAGAATGTCAAGCATTCTGAAAGTAAGAAATCTAGGAGAGACATCGGACACCTATGGAGCAACCGTGCGGTGAATATTATTTTTTACTTGTGTAAAATTAATCTTTTTTTTGAATATGCTTGTTTTAAATCATTTTATTTGACAAATTAAAATGAAATAATTATTTGTAAATCATTGTTTTTAAAGAAAATTTAAATAATTATATATTCTATAAATTATATATTCTATAAAATAA